CACTTGGCGAAATGTAGCAAGTGACAGCTACATTTGCTATAACTGTATATGAACAAGGCAAAATAATAGAACAATCATTGGACATCAAAAAATTCAAAAATAAAAGCAAAGAAGTTGTAATTACTTTGGCTGTAAAATTAGTGCCCAGGCCAAAACCATAGGGAGCCCAACCGACAGCCAACAAATTCTCCACGCACGTCATGGACGTGATTTTTGTACCAGCTATTCTATCCAATTGTGTTGGAGAATTTAAAATGGCATCATAAATGAATATTTCCTCCTTAAGCGCCAGTGCAAACAAACTTCTTTCATGATCGTGTAAAAGCTCAATGTATCTGACCTAAAATTACAATAACAACTGTAGAATTGAAAAGTGCCGAAAATTTTATTTCAACATGAGCATGTACCTTTTCCTCGAAAGTTCGAGAATGTACAAATTGCCATTGTCCATTATTGTTCACGTGATCAACACGCACCCTTTCGCCACATAAAGTCAAAAGCAAAGGAGCATCATTGAAAGAAGTTAATGCAATATGATTGGCTGCAGCAACTACGTGGTATTGATAGATTGGTTCCAAACTGATATTTGTATGCCAAACATTTATCATCCCTAAGTAACCAAGAGTTGGATGAAATATATAAAGGCAACGCAAGGATAATTACAAGGAGCAACGAAGCACAACTCACCAGATGAAAATGCTGCAGCACAAATGTTTCCAAGCACTGTAACGCATTCAACACTGGCATTACTTGATTCTGAATTGCCTCAACAGAAGCTGCAAGAGAGCTTTGCCAATTGCTTTCAACATTCCACAAACAGGTCTTACCATTTGCATACCCAGCAATTAATACATCTTCAATGAGGCCACAAGCTGTTAGCATACCTCCTAAGTTTAAAATATCAATTTTTGAAAAGATTTATTTTTATTATAAGCCTCTATGAGAGTGAGGTATCTGCATCTTAACTTTAGAGGAATCTACCCTCATCAAAGTGGTTACCTATGTATTAGGGAAATACACTCCATATGAAATACACTCCATATGATAATGTCTCATAAAAAAAGGATGATTTTGTCAACTATAAATAACCATCAAAATTAACACTACCTTGTAGAAGTGCATTTAAAATATGTAACCAAATATGGCACAAAACCTTTTTCATATTCAAATGTTTGTATTTCACAAATCCGTTCTTTCCAATTTCTTTCCACCAGACGTCTTTTAAGAATTCCATTCTTCACTATACACTTCCAGCTAATGTCATCAACATTATTTTTCTTTGTTTTCTCCAAACCTAATCTTTCATATAATTTACACCAAAGAAGATCATCATTAGCTATTGACGCCCATGTCTTACTTACACAAGCACAATGACATAAGTCAGCAGTGTCCAAATAGTTGAATATATTTATGCAAACCTCTCTCGGAAGGCTAATATCAAAAAATGGTATGGCACAAGTCTCATCAATATCTTTAATCAACAATGACAATAAGTCCTCATTATGATGGTGATGAGAAGTGCATTCTATTCTTTGTTTACTGGTATCCTTCATTGAATCATCTGACTGAACATGTCTCTGTTGTTCTTGGTAACTTGGTATTTCTAATGTCATCAGAGAATTTGGCTGATTTATTTCTGGCCTTTGTCTTTTTCTTCCATCATGTGCAATATTCCATTTCTTGCATGTTTCATGTTTAGGTTTCAGTTTATTTTTCTCCTTTGATATGTTTTCAACTGATTCACCAAGAGTAACATTGCAGGCACTATTCACAGCTAATGTATCACTTTTGTTTATTCTACAATGATCAACTTTTTCTTTGATTTCTTTTCTCCATTTCTCTCTAAATGTTTGCAGTTCCTTTTCAGCCATTAGACTGTTGTGGAGGAAAAATAACAATGCTACATCAGCTATTTTCCTCTCTATGTCGTGACGTTTACTTAAGGTTTTCAAAATCTTTTAAAGGTAATCACTATTTTTTACCGATTATATACAATTCCTTGCATTCATAAAGAATATTGTGTCCATTTGTGCTGTTTCATTGTGACAACTGTCACAGCCACGCAGTTTTCTGACACAGATGCGGTTATGTGTCCACTTGACGTGATGACATACAAAGACAATAAAAATATAAACTAGTTAAAATATCACTTAACAAACTTAATGGAATGGATCAGTTATGATAAATTGATAATGTAGTATGTTTCTTTTTCTACGAGATACGTGTGCAATAATTATTCGAGTTAATTTACGGGAATAAATTTTCGAGAAAAATTTGACGTTCATTATTCTCAAGAAAGATGAGCGATGATAATGGTCGACGTAAACTATGTAGTTCGAAAAGAGTGCCTGTATTCTCTGCTCTGTTTTTACTAATTTCAACCACTGCTGTTTTTTTTGCCTTCCCGTACGTTTTTGGGTTATTTTTCAATTGAAAAAATGTGAATTTCATCTAAAATGCTTTGATGATCTTTTTGTTTTCTAGATGTCGCTACCTGGCCGAGAACGTTTCTTATGGGATAGTGGTCTACGAAGCTTTTTTGACTCTTTTTATCCTCGCAAACTTCTTCCAAGCTACATTTCAAGATCCTGGGAAAATACCTAGAGGTAAAGCAAAGACTACAGCAAAGGGTATAAACGTTCATTTACCTAGAATGAAGTTTTAAGTTTTGACAGCTCGGCCAAGTTTATATTAGACCTGTTGTCAGATGAAACTAGATGAAGTTTAGCTCAAAAAGCTTATAATTGAATACATAGCACGGCTTAAACGCTTTCTATAGATAAACATTTTACAGATTTCTTTTACGATAGCCTGTGTTGTAATAAACGAGAGCAAAGATTTCGCTATCGTATTTTAAAAACGACAACGCGTGGGAACGTCCGGTATGAACATTTTTCTCCAATTTCTAAAACGATAAAATGTCTTCCAAAATATTGCCTGCTGCTCAAAATCGTTACTGGCACTGAATTTGTGAGGGGGGAAAGACCAAACGGTTTCAACTTTCAAATTTAAAGTAAAGCACCTAATTATTGCAATGTAATAGTTGAGCCAAACGGGAAGTAAACAACATACCAAAAGGAACTGATAATATTTCTTGACCAGATTACAACATGATTTCTTAATTTTTTTGACCATTAACAGTTCATGTGACAAGCTGTTTGCTTTAAATTTTCAAATAGTAGATTTTTCATGGATAACATGTGTATTGTTGAGGTTAGAATTTACATTTTAATACTTTTATTACAAAGGTAAACAAAGTACTCTAATGCAAATGATTTATGTAGTATGCCAATGAGTTAATTATTTTTTTATGTAGGGATGAGTTGTTTAGCTTTCATAATCAACATGAACACAAAAAAATTTACTTAACAAAAACAGTCAAAGAATGCATGAAGGAAAACTTGTTTTGCCTTGCTTACTTAATTTTTCAATCAGTGGCAAATCTAGGGTAGGTCGAAATGAAATATAGAAGCTCAATTTAAACTCAAAAGACTTTTTTAACAACGTTGTTGGTTAAAAGTTTCTAAAGAATATTTAAGACTAAAATAATTCCAATAGGATTCCCTCCAAAGTAGTTTGAAATCGAAATATATTTTCAGTAATGTATTCTGACTGCCCCTGTATGTGCTATAAAATATAGGTTTGACTTTTTTCATTATATTTTATCAGTCACAAAATTTGTAAATTGTTTTTTTTTCTTTACTTTTGATATTAGTTACGGTGGATGAAATTGGGGAAGATGACTTCAAATCGCCTCTATTCAAAAATATTGAAATCAATGGGATAAACATTAAGATGAAATGGTGTGATACATGTAAATTTTATCGTCCACCAAGATGCTCGCATTGTAGCATGTGTGATCGTTGTATTGAGGTATTATACTATCTACCTTTGTCTCAATATTTGTCTTTATGTTACTTGCAACATTGTTTCAACTGTAGATTAAACTTGTTTAAAAACTAAAATACATAAGGAATTTGTATCAATTATCAAGTAGTGTGTATTTTTATCAGAACTCTCCTTATGAGAACACTTGGTGCCACTTCCATAACTGATCTCATAAGATAAAGAGATTTAGTTGTGTGTATAACTTCCCTTAACGTTTTTTTGTTTTGAGTGTTTGCTCCTGTATGTTGTGTGTATAAGGCAAAGGTTGAAGTTTTTGAAGGGATCACTTCTGATGAAGATGCTAGACTGGAATGTGAAAAGTCTCAAGTTGCAATAGGCATATACATTAGTCTATGCAAGCAAATATACATTATTGTATGGACTCTTTGCTGATTATATCTTACCTGACAAACATAGACATAGTGTATTTTGACTTTCAAGTGTTTCAACATCATATCTTGTTTAATGATGTGCACAATATGAATTTGACCTAGGTATTTGATCACCATTGCCCATGGGTTGACAACTGCATTGGCAAACGAAACTACAGATATTTTTTTCTGTTCTTGTCATCTCTCAGTGTACAGTTGATATCAGTTATCTCATTTTGTTTGTATATTATATTAAAATTGGAAAGGAATTTTGAGGACAAATACGTCATTACATCGTATCCTTTTTTATATGTTTTCTTTGCCTTCTATATTTTGATGATCAAGTTGTGCATTAAAATGAACCCTCTGCCCGCAATATCGCATTACATTTAAGTTTGAAGCTTAAATTATCTAAAAGGCTATGTTTTGAAAACAGACTTGGGTGTTCGTCTGCTAGGTTGATAATGAAATTTATTTACCATTCAAATACAAAATCAAATTGTTCACGTATTGAAATGGCCAAATGCCTGTGAGTTAGATTAACTAAGTTTCGAGCTAGCCGACTTGTTAAGGTTTACTACAACTTTTGAAAGTGGATTTTTGTTTCTCAAGACAAGGCTTGTTTTTATGAAATTTTGAAGCAATTTACTGTAGGAGTTTCTTTTCTCTCCGTGTGAGAAATAGGGTTATAAGATTATTTCCGAGAGTTCTTTTCCTTGATTTTTTCTAGCGTCATAATTATAATAATTTGCGGCCTAGTTGCTCTTCCTGTTTTTGGTTTAACGTTTTTTCACGTTGGTCTTATATCGTGTGGAAGGACTACAAACGAACAGGTAGTGGTGTGTTTTTATATCAACTTGTACGTCTGCTGCAGCCTCCATGTGAGTTCTACAGCATGACGTAGACTTGAGATATTTTAAAATTCAATGGTCGCAGCTCGTTTTCCATGACCATCTACGATCTGTGGGAGAGCATCTGGCAGCTTTGCCTATCGCTCCACCCTCTGAAATATGCGAATTTCAAATTTAAACATGTTATGTTTGATTTGCGATTGTAATCACGAAAGAAAATATTCCAACTCGTCGCTTAGCTTGCAGTTGCTTCTTGTTATATATGTTTGTGCGCTTGCACTTTATAATGTGAAACTGGTCGCGCCTTCCACTGCAAGTTGTTCAAAACTACTTGATATAAAGTGACTTTGAATGATAGAAGTTTAGCAAATTTTATAAACGTTTTTTGGCAGCTTTATTCTGGAATTGTCGCATTGTTCTTTTATAGAAACAGGAATGTCGATAATTTAACCGCATTGATCAAATGTGTTCGTTTCTTAGGTTACGGGTAAAGTACGTAGCGGCTTTAATCCTTTCAACAAAGGTTGTGCATCAAATTGGCAACATGTGTTCTGTTCACCTATACAGCCACAGTAAGTTAGATGGTAAAGTGTTTTGAAAAATAGAGTCGATTATCAAAACTGGAATGTCATCCCAACGAAATCCTTTGCCTTTTGAAGATGACATAAAAGACTACCATCTTCAAAATGTCTGTTTGTATGTATAGGCATATGCAATGTGAAAGACTTGCAACGTTGGAAAATGGTGCCATTGTTAATGGACAATTATCGACAGTTGATGTCAGATTTGAAATGGAAAGGATGCCGAATCACGAAATGGCTTTCACGAACACACAAAATGCTAATGGCGTGAAGGTATGTGTTAACACTTGGGATTGATGACTTGACATTAAGATTTGAAATTTTTCATCGTTACTATCATTTAAGATCGAAAGAAGTCCGCCTGTCGAGAAATCAAAGTTACAAGCAATGGAAGTTGAAGTCCAAGCGAACACCTTACGCCCGCCACGAGCACCAAGTCCGCGTTCGCATTCTATGATATTCTATACGCCTGATAATCAAACGGGACAAACGACAGTGGACAAGGAGGCTGAAGTGTAAAACTTCGGCATTGCAAGTATCCATTGACTTTCATAAAGTCCTAACTCATGTTTCTGTCTGAGAAAAACTATTTTCATTGTAAATAAGGTGTGGCAACCTTCGCTTGCATGCTTTGCGCATGTCGCTGGTTGGCATTGCTGAACTGAGATTTTTTGCAAATTTTGTTAAAAGCCAGCAGTGAATATCACGTTGAACATAGAAAAAAGCTTACATAAATATTTTGACTGATCAATTTCAATACTCAGGTGTGTTCTTTCAAAGTTTTTCTTTATACATTTCATGGGCAAAGTTTGTTTCTCAACTCCATTTAACGATTGAGTATGTTATACTGGTTCTGGACTAACGTAGAGAAAGGCAGAAAGTCATGTAGGCATGTCCTGCTCAATGAAAATGAACTCGTTAAAAGGCTCACGAAACATAAAAGTTGCAATTAAAATTATTATTTTATTAAACAGCAGAGTTTCTTCAACATTTAATATACACATCTCTTTCAATCTCGAGATGTTGAGGTTTTATCACACAATCAGTCTCGTTGTACTGCATGATGGAACTTGGATTTTCAGAATTTCAGTGGTCGGTATTTGCTGATATGTCACTTTATATCGATTTGTGTTTTGTTTATTGAGAAATTTAGTGGTATAAAGTTATGCTCCAGCATTTCATCCAAAACGTGCGTGGAAAGTGAAGGATTTGGCAACTGCTTGTGTTAATCGGGCATTAAAAATCCTCTATCTTTAGAATGAAGAGGTGTAATTGCTTTAAAAAGTGTACGGTTATTTTGAATCGATGAAAATATAATTTAATTGTGAAATTCTTGTTTCAAAAACACTTCTCATTTCTTTTGCGTCGGCGTTAGATGATTGCGTTCCTTATTTTTATTCGCAAAGCTAATGCTTCACTTTGACATTCATTCTTCATCGAAACAATACGCATACAAATTTTAAGTATTTCAAAGTGCTTTAATTATAAATTTAACTTTTAAAATTTGCTTTGATGTAGAAATTCCTCTCGTAATATGAGATGAGCTTATCTATTATAAACATATTTTTACATAATTTCCAAGATCATGAAGTAAACGATAATCAACAATGCTGACCATTGTGCCACTGCTGGCGAGTCTTGATGACGTCGACGGATTAGCATTTGGCGGGAATTGCTAAGCACACCCAAGCACATTTCGCAGAACGAGACGGTCGTTTTTATTTTAGGTGAAAATAGAAAATGTTACCTTAGGTTTTAACAACTGAACCATACTAAACAAGGATTTCAGAACTACAAAACGAAAGCTGAGGAAGGGCAACTTCATATGTGTATTTTGTGGATGGAACTCTACCACTATATTTGTCGTTAAAGCGCGGATTGAAAGGGATGAAATGAACAAAGTTCTGGCTTTTGTGAAAACGCTTATGTCTATGGAACCTGTAAAGCATACGTAAGTGAGTGGTTCAATCATTATTTTGAAAGGTGTTGTTAACGCTTTACATAGCTATGTGCACTTTTCATGTTTTTTAAATTTAAAAAATAACTTGAAGACAAAAATGTGTCGAAGGACCGCAAAATGCCACAAAATCTCGTGTATGACTTTTTCAACTCAAGTTTTCGTACTATATTTTTGGCGCTGTGTTTTCTTAAAGGACTTAGTTACCTAAAGCTTAATGTTAGCTATTATTCCGTGAGCTTATGGAGAAATATCCTGAGCGTGCTAGTGAATTTATCAGTTTCTTTTGATATATGGCGTGCAGTTTTTGCAAAATACGGAAAGCCATATTACTCAAGATTGTTTGGTAAATGTCGTGTAAATGTACAGTCAAAGAGATTCAATGATCCGGTAGACTTTAAATCAACAGTCGCGCAACACATTTAGGAAAATAATTTATGGATATATTAGTCTTTCAAAATGAATATGTTGAAAATCTCACAAACGAAATCCTTCTTGGTCGCCCTCAATTCTCTTCAGTTTGACGTACACGTCTGTACCATAGCCATACAAAGACTGCAGTTGTAGTGAGCCACCAAGAAACTCCGCATAGGCTCTTGAAGTAGGCAATCCAAAACCAAACCCTGCCATACTTCCAATGGTTTCCATAGAATTTACTGTTTGACTATAGTCAGATAGCATACTCGTGGTAGTTTGGTTAACTTTCTTAAATGTTGAAAATGAATAATTAAATACTTCTTTCAAGTCGTCATCTGATATACCACCACCTTGATCTGAGATTCTGTAAATGAATCAACTCTTTATCAAATTTATTCTGTGTAATGATGGCATAATATCAAACATTCAAATTTCAATCTTTATTTTTAAAGTGATGAGGCTTACCTGATGGTGAAATTCTCCTTGTTACAACTGATAGTTATTTGGACACTTGGCATTGAAAATACATTAAGCATGCTTTCACCGCGGTGAAATTCCACTGTTGATCTAGTTTACAATACAAAAACATAAGTCAATGGAAAGGATTACACTTCGCCATGTCTTAAAATACAATTTTCATCAAAATACAAGTTTTACCTCATTGCATTTTTCAACAATTCTTGTAAGATGTATTCAAGTGGAGCAGGAAAATATGAAAATGATGCGTCTTTGTGACCATTGATTATAATTTCAGGACAGACTCCATAATGATGCTCACAAACTTGTCTAAGGAAATGCACAGTGATCAAACTTAAGTCCATAATCCCTTCCGAAACTATTTTTTATCTTAGTAGTGCTGACCTGACAAAATCAGCACTTCTCTCAATAACAGTCTTCAGACACAGATCATTTGCAATGATTCCCACGAAGTTATTCTATTTCAATTAAAATTTCAAGCTGATAACAAGTACTCTAAATTATCTTGTACCAAAAAAAAGGAATAATCTACTTGTAACTCATATACCTTGTTTTCTCGAAGGGCAATATGATGCTCAGCCAACATTCTCATACCTAGCCGAGATTTCAAAGTCTTGTCCAAAAATGAATGAATTGTATGGTACTAAAAAAGATTTCCTTATTTAATGGTTAACAAAACTATGGTTTATTCACATTAAAACGCACAGGCACTTGATGTTTACAGTCCTTAAATCCACGAGCCAATGAAGTCACAACATGTCGATGGTTATTCAGTAATGTCTTCACCATCTTGCTAAACTTTCTTTCTGAAGGCAAATCTTTGATCTATGTTGGGAGCACAATGTGATGAAATTATATTCAAAAACTAATTAAGTATTAACATACCTTTGGTTGTCCTGATAGAAGATTAAAAGAGCGAATGTAGAGCTCATACTAAAAAACATTTGAAAGGTTGAGTGAAATTTTCCTTAAAACTAGAATTTATTGTGTATTAAAATTCACTAAAATAAAACATGTTGAACTCACTGTGTCTGAGATGTCAGGATTTACAGCAACAATGTAAGGTAAAGAATGAAATGCAAGCAAACGTCTAGCAACTCGAATAACCAGTTCATTGTGAAGAAACTGAACATTTTTCTATGGATTGAAATGGTTTATCTGAACATCATCAGTTGCCATTGCCCAGGGATGCTATACATTTTCATGAACTATCAATTGAATAAATACTTACAATTAAGTGTTCACCATCAGTAAATCTACCTGCATTAAGCATTTGGGAAGGAGTCACTTTAAGTGAAGACTAAAAGTAAAAAGAGAAATCACTATTCATTATTACAACTAATTTGCTATGTTATCAATAAATGATGGGGTAATTATCGCAAAGATTTGTAACAAAGAAATATATTATTTAAAGTAAGTGCTTTTCAAATGATTAAACGTTGTGATGACGAAGAGTGGATTCGTTTATGCAATGTATGGAATTGCAAAGTACACCTACAGGTTACGATGTACATTAAGATTATCATAACTTGTTTATCACGGAGGTAAAAAATGAAATTGTTGAGCTCCCACAAAATTGTATTAATCATTCTGTCTAGGTACCTTTGAAGCACAATTTTCGATTGTTCCTTGATTGACATAAGACCATCCTTTTAATTTGTGTCTTCGTTCAGTAAAGGTTTCCCTAATGCGGCTTACATCTCGCCAGCATTTAATACAAGGTGATCGTGCCAAATGTTTGAAAATCTTCATTTATTTTGCTGATTTCTGAAAGCCATAATGATTGGCACTGTTAAGACAAGACCGGATGTTTTGTAACTTGTAATAATTTCGTGGATTTTTTTTCTGATCAATCATACGAGTCTGTGGTTCAATGAATTGAATCAATATTTCGTTATTATGTTACTACCGGTATTAACGCCGGTGGTTGACTTTGGGGTTTGCTCGTATACATAGATTATATCCGTTAGCGGGCTTTTTAGATCTCCATAGTAACAGCAGTAAACATGGCGGATGCGACCAACGGATTTCACTTTGACGAATTATCTAAAATTCGTTTGCTTGAGCCAGACGTTTTTCAGCAAACACAAGAATTGAAGGAAGAATGTAAAGAATTTGTTGATAGTGGGTAACATGCGATACTATGACGAATAAATTGTGTTTTATTAAACATTAATGAAATTTACTATGACTTTTAAACTGGTAGAAATTTCAGAATTTCAAAGCATTGTGGGAAACTTTATTAGCATGGTGGATGGTCTGGCAAAAGAAGTTGAAAATGAGAAGATGAAAGCAATAGGATCAAGAAATTTGCTTAAATCTGTAGAAAAGCAAAGAGAAACTGAACAAGAACAGCTTCGTGCTCTGATTGCAGAAAAGAAAGTTCAACTTGAGAGGTATACGTATTTTAAAGATTACGTTGTATACACAAGTTACTCAATACTTCCCCCGTCTTTATTCTAAGACATGTTTTGGTCATGTTTAGACACAGGCATCAATATGAATCACTTCTGAAAACAGAGGAGGATCAAAGAGAGTTTCTTGAGCAATTTATTCTTTATAAGTAATATATTTGAAATTTTATGCAAAGTTAATATATAGTGGTATATAAAAATATATAGTGGTCTATTCATTAATTATAATAACATTTGTTAAAAATATGGCACAAGATAACATTGTGGTTCCCTCATAACCTAGTCTTGGTATATGATTCATTGGCAGTAAGACCACAATAAAGCCATGACTATTATTAATATGGCTAAATAAACAAAATAGAAAAAATTGCCATTTGACTTGTCTTTCGTTGATGAATGGTCACCTGTGGCTTTAAAAGCACCAAGATAGTGCTCATTTATATCCATTATGTGTTGTCTTGCTCCGCTCCATGCGTTTGGTCCTTGTAGTCTGAACTGAGCTGGTATGGCAGGGCTAAATAACACTTTAAATGCAAGTATAGGATCTTGCTTTAGTATAGACCATAAGTCTGGCTTTGCACCAATCATTTCTCCAAGCTCATCCAAGTATGGTAGAAAATGCACCTGATTAACAAGAAATATATAAAAATTCTGCAAGTTCATGCATATTTGGTTAATACTGAAGATTTCTGATTAAAGAATATTTTCACCAGTACCTTCAGCAAAATATTTATAATTGGAGCTTACAAAATTTTACAAGTGAGGTTTTTCTGAAGTAATAGAACAATCTCATGGACAAAGGATGCACAACTCACTCGCATGTAGTTTGACTTAGAAGTACCAGTTTTCTTCCAAAAGTCTTCTCTGTCTTTGATTGCCTGTTCCATTTTGCACTTGCTTGGCAGCATACACTTCTTTGCAAACACTTCCACTGCTACTCTGGCTTGCATCTCACATGTAGGTGCATCTGCTCCTTGTACTAAAATTGCTCCAATCACAGCTAACGTGTGTTGGTCATTGCTTGGCAAAAACATATGCTTATAAAGACTAACATAATAATCTTCCTTTGTTTCAATTATGTCACTGGCAAATGGATAAGTGTGCTTAAAACCTGTTGCAAAAATCAAAGCATCTACATTGGTTAAAATTTCGCCATCTTTCAAAGTCACTGAGTTTTCAGATACTTCTCTAATGTCTTTCTTGACTTTGATCTTTCCACTAATAATGTGGTGAAGCAATTCATCATTTATAAATGGAAACTGGTGGACATTAAAAGTACCTGTAGGTTGAAGGCCATAGGTTTTGAAATCGATCTTGTTATTCAACACAGCTGGTGACATTTTCATTGCAATATTTACTGGCACAATTTTTGAAATGGCTCTCGTCAGTAAAAAGTCCAGTGGTTTCCCTCCTGGACCAACACGAGTCATCAAGTAACCACCACTTCTTGTACTCAAGTATACTTGGTTTGCATAATTGCAAATATCAACAGAAATATCACCTGTGGTTAAAGAAATTACGTATAAATATGAAGTGAGAATGTTATACTAGATTCCTTTGCAGTGCATTGTCTTTCTCAGTGAAAACATTCATAATTACAACCTCCAGAGTTACTGCATCCCACGACCACAACTCTTTTTCCAACATAAGGGTGAAAAGTTCGGTAATCACCACTATGTATTATAGTACCAGTAAATTTATCAATTCCGGGTATTTTTGGTGTAAACTGCTCCCACAAATGACCTGTGCATATCATTACTGCATCAAAAGATTTAGTGGTAATCTCTGAATCAGCTTTTCTGTGTAAGAAAATAAGAAAAAAATCGTAATTCCAAACAAATTAAACAATACTTTAGCTTGATAATTTGCGTTGGTAATAAAAAGTCCATTAAAAATGGCAAACCATAGAACAACTATAATTCATTGTCGTGGTGTAACTTTTTCATTGATTTTACTAGTATACTAAATGGATTTACGAGCCAGACACATGAATACGTGAATGTGTAACAGTCGCGTCCCCACCTTTAACGTCCTACTTCAAGGGGCGGCCTGGAGTCGTCGTTGATGGTCAAAGTGTTAATTCTACTTCACCAACATTATGTATTATTGGGTGATATTTATGTTTTATAGTATTTAAATAAGTAAAAATCTGTTTCAGATTTTCAGCACTTATTTTGTATATTCAAGGCATTTGAGCCAATTTAATGTGACTAATAATATTACAACGAATAACTTCATTTGTAAATTATGGTAATCGTCCCAGTACTTGAATCACATAAAATCTGTATTACCGGGTTGAAATTAGCCATTTTCCTGTATCCTTGTGATCATTGCTCCTTTGTAAGTGAACGACTTCGGTGCCAAACTGCACATGCTTGACAAGGTCAAAATGCTTTGCGTAAGATTCTAAATAGGTCTGAAATAATCGATGAGGTAGATAGTTTGGAAAGGATTTTGGCATTGGGAAATCCGAATAGGCAGAAAATTGTTTACTGGTGTTGGTAACAGTATTTCTATGCACAGAGGCTAAATTTGGACGTGGCTCATCCGTGTAATTCCAAACACCTCCGACATTTTGCTGTATTTCAAAACACGTTGGATTTAAACCGGCATCGATACAACATTTGATGCTCGCAAGGCCAGCCACGCCGCAACCAATAATCGCTACCTCTTTGACGGTCATAGTTGCCCTATTGCACTGCACAAATTTACCACACGCTACCTTCAGAAAAAAAGTGCCAACTGAATGTGCATTGTATCGTGAAAGATGATAACGCTTATTATGCAACTCCTTTTGTATCTGAGTCCAATGCATCATAGCATGACATTTTGCTTTTGGTCAATTTGGTTGAAATAAGTAAATTTTTATTGTAAAAACCTTAAGCTTTGAGAATGACCGTTTATTTTTGCGTAAATTAATTGATGTGATGAAAATGGAGAAATGGTGGTTGAAAAGCTCCCTGTATGAATATACATTCCATTGATTGTTTTTGTGCAACGCATATCTTATTACTTATGTGATTAACATAGTGGCAGCCTGTTAATTGCTTTTTTTGACCAATAGACATGATGAAATGGCAAACAATAGCCAGTCGTCTACAAACACTGTAGACTCTCTATTCTCGCAGAAAGTTAAGTGGTGCAAGGACCACAAAGTGGTCCCAAGGCACATGAATTCACAAAATGGTCGAAGTAGCCCTACTGTACAGTGGCGTAACTAGAACGTTAATTTGGGGGTTGCATATTTATGTATTCCGTTGTGCCCTACTGATTTCTTTTGAAAGTAATTTGAATTTCAAAAGAAATCAGTAGGGCACAACTGAATATATGAATATACACCCCTGCAATTAACGTTCTAGTTACGCTTCTGCTACAGTATGTTCCCCATACTGTGATTTATAGCCCCTCTGTATCGGCACTGTCTACACACCGCACATATACTTCTGCGAATTATGGCTGCCGGATACTTTAAGTACAAAAATATGATACCATAGAAGTATTTGTTTGAAGTAATGATGAGTGTATTCAGAGGACAGTGGTGTTTACCAAATGAATATAGCGTTAAAACGAAAAACTTGAAAGTTGAGGTTAGGGTTAGTTTTGTTTACGTGAAGTGCTTCTTTAATTTTTAGTGAGAGTTCAGTATCTGCCGCGTCAATGACTTTAAAACTAGAAGGTGACCATTTAATTAAGTGGAAATGCAAAAAAAATAGCGACTACGTTAATGCTGCAATAAAGTCCTGGTGATTACTGCAGACCTTTCAACTCTCACGCATTTGGTTTCGCTCTCACGCAGCAATAATTAGTTAAACCACACGCATTGGGAAATTTCCCTCAAATTTTAAAAAAGTACAGTAATTTGTCTATTTTAATCACGAATATTGAATAAACTGATAAAAGCTATTTTCTCACAACACAGTTACGCTTTGCGATTGGCTCTCAAGAAAAATGCGTACTTAAAATTTCATGCAACGTCAATATTTTATGTGTATTATTTCACACGAAAAAAAACATGAAGTGCGATATAGAATTTTTTTAATAAATCAGTATGACGAGATAAAGAACTAATCTAAATTTTATTCCAAATACTAAATTTAATTTAATCCAAAAATTATGTACTCTATGAATAGAATTTGGGTTAAATTATTCATGTGCAGATTTCAAAAGCATACAGGCTTTATCTTTTTGTAGGACTTAAAAAGGGCCAGAAAATGGCATTTTATATATTTCAAATAACAAATTCGCCGGCGTCCAACCTCCTCCAAACACCAGTTCTGGCTCACTGAAATCTCACTCTTTAGTGAGGTCTGTAACTGGAGATGAAAAAATAATAGAGATTGTAAACAAATCAGTAACGATGTCATTACTGCATTCAATTATATACAAAGAGCAAGCTTTGTTAGCTCGCTCGTAGGTCAAATGTTTGCTATTGAGAGTTTACAGATGACGCCATCTAGTGGTTGTAAACTACCTCGCTCATGAATCCGTTTCGTCTGCCCGCGGCAAAGCTCAACATTAAAAGTGTTAAGAAATTTAGCCAAGATGACTTTACTTTCAATCATTGCAAACTGCTGTCCAATGCAGTTTCTTGGACCTAACGAGAAAGGGAAATAAACACCTGTGGATACTTGACCCTCGTCATTCGTACATCGCCAACGCTCTGGTTGAAAACCTTCAGGGTTGGCCCAATGCTGTGGATGACGTCCCATTACATATGGACTACTGCTAATCGTAGTACCTTTTGGGATTACATACTTATTAAGTTTAACATTGTTGGGTGTTACTCTTATGATACCTGGTGCCGGTGGGTACAGGCGCAACGTTTCTTTCAAACAATAATCCAGGTATTTGAATTTCGGCAAATCATCGTAAGTGACGTCATTTTGCGCTCCCAGAACGTTTTTGATTTCTTGCACCGCATTACAGAAGACGTCATTATTATGCAGCAATTCCAGCAAGCAAAAAGATAATGTCGATGATGTTGTTTCATGTCCTGACGAAAAGAATGTAACGAAGTCGTCAATTAGGTCTTCCTCGGAAAGCCTTGGATCACGACCGTCAGACAATATGTGGTCCAATATGTCCTTAATTTAAAAGGTGGAAAAGGACAATTTTAAAGTGTTCTTTGTACTGGATATGGGGCATTTTGGCGAAAGTAATATGTGAGAGTTGATTTACCTGAAATTTTTTGCTATCATTTGATAAGGTGTGCGTTCGTCTTCGAATTGTATCACGTCCCGTATTTCTAAGGAATCGGAGGGCTTTGATAACTTCTCTCTGTCGAGGATATGATGTAAAATCCCATTTATGTAACGGATTTACGAAAGCTTCCTCGACACCCTTAAGAATCATGTTATAAGATTGAATAAAAGGACTTTGCGGATCAATTATTACGTCAAGATCTATCCCAAAACCCGCCTTGCAGATTACATCCAATGTGACCAACGAGAATTCATCTGCCATTTTTACATACATCCCATTCTCAGCCACATTACGTAGCTTAGCAAGAAATATGTCGGTGCTCGAGTTAAAATGACACATGAGGTTTCGTAAGTATAATCGATGGAATGCCGGGTTCATGAGGGATCGCCTATGTTGCCATTGCTCATCGTTGAGATTTGTTAACAAACTCCTACCCATGGCTCTTTCACCGAAAAGTGTCTCCAAACATTCCCGGTAAAATCGTGGATCTTTTGGAAATTTTTGTACCAAAAGGATTGCCTTGATAGTGTAAGGATCTGCCACGTTCACCCAGGGCAGAAAAAACAACCATATTACGACGATATCACCGTATTTTATATGACAATCCAATATGAATTCAAAAGATGAGCAACCTTTGGACAACGCCTTCCTTATGTCTGGAAAATTGCCTGAATGATAGAAAATCATTCTTTGACTGAGTTTATCGGTAGATATAAATAAATTGTGTGTGCAGCCAATTGACACCAAACGCTATGTACAAGCCCTATATGACTTTCTGTAGCAATCCTGTTTCTTCGCAACGTTAAAATTTCGATAGGAATTAATGCTCTACTCACCTAAATGTGATCCACAAAAACTGTCTTCTTGTCACTCTGCTATTTGGTATTATAATGATAATAATGTGTATCATGTTTCTTACCTTTAAAAAATGAGCTGACTTTTGGGCCTGGTAAATGGCCATATTTTATACGACGAAGGTACAAAATGTATAGACTAAATAGAAGTAACAGAATGCACAACAAAAATAAGATAAACAGCAAGAGTTGTAAGATGAGGTTTGATAAATAAATCATTGCCAACTTTGGACGATAGACGATTTTGCAGACGCTGAAATATGTAACTTGAATTCATTACACGGTTGCGCAAGCAACAATCAGGACGAACTTCCGCTTACCATTTGAAACTCACAGCAGTGTACAGCACAATTTCAAGTGTGCATGGTGTGTACCTGATGTATAAGCCTTGTTTTAAAACAACTAAGATGCTCTTTACAAGGTCGAAAGAAAAAAGCTCTGAAGCATTACCTGGTGATACAAGATTAAACATACCCCAAGAAAAATATCATCTTGTAAACTCGAGGTTCGAGTCTTATCAGCACGAGAGAAATATAGTAATGTATTTACAATTTGAATGTTCCATTCAGATTGTGGAACTTTAAATAGTTTACTTCTACATAACCAATTTGAGTCAATTTGGACACATCCAAAGTAGCTTCTTCGTACGAGTAGCTGACGGGACGTCACCTGCATCTTCTCTTCAATATAATTTTTGACCTGTTTTTCTGTACAAACGTAACGCTTTTGTCATGTCTTGCATTAGCGTGATCCTGATTGGTCAAAACCCTCAAAACAGTGGAAAGAGCATGGGAACCATCAATTAAGCACGCAATCCTCTAGATGTCTAAACCTACCTACCTTGTCAAGGTGAGGCAAGGAAGCCATCTTATATAGCAAAAATCAAAACTCTCAATTAAAATCAGCTAAAAGAAATCATAAAAACGCAAACCAACCAAATGTTGTAAAAAAAGGACATAGACCATCAACTCTGCAATTAAATGTATGTTTACACAGAAGCAGATTTTAGTTCTGAATATCATCAAATTTGCCACATTTCAAGATAGCGGCTTTTCCCACTCCTGTCCATCCTGGTAATTATAGAATTTCGTAGTTCTCACAGGTTCTAACTGATTTCAAGTTTTATTCAATGTCCCATATTCACAATTCTTCTGACACCCTTTTCGAGACGTTCATTGAGCTTTGTAACGAAATTGTACTGGTCAGCGTCGTGTTGCTTTTAATATGAGTCAACGACCGACGATGATTTTTTGGTTGTTGGCTACACTTCAATATTTTCATCACTGCGTTGCGAAATCTTTTAAAACGTAACGCGTACACAAATGGATTAAAAGCCGACTGAACAGCAATAATAATGAACTGAACATCCTGCAGATATTGCAAAGTTAAACAACTGCACGAAGTACATAAATTCATCGTGTATATCACAACGCATCCTGGGAAATAACATGATAAAAAGATGGAAATGATTATCAAATACGTTTTTGTTAACTTCACATTCCATGGATTTGGAGGCAAAGGCTCTTTCTCGGAGAACTGCTTTCTTTTTGAGATAAAACTTCGTCCCTTACTTAATTTTGGCTTGACATTCTTCTGTAAAGCTGTTGACCACAAGCCAGTGGGTTTCGACTGAACTGTTGCATGTTCAGATGCTGGATGGTGTGCTTCCTCCGATGAAATGCCGATTTCGGTGGAAGTTGAAGTCTCTGAAATTATACGCCTTCGATGGACTGTCGTGTTAGGTAACCTCTTTTTGAACTTTCTTAGAATTTTCGTGTACGTGAATATGCTTATACCCATCGTACATAAAACTGCAATGGTGCTGAATATTAGAGCGTACGTTGTGTATGACGTATATAGGTATATGGAGGACAGACCTATTGATATTAACCACACAATAGTCGCCAGTAAAAGAAATCTTTTGATGCTGAAAAAAAGTCTAAACTTTAGTGGTGACATAATTGCAAGGTATCTTTCTACTCCTAGAAGACAAATGCTTAAAACCGAGGTAGTACACGAAATAAAGTAAGACATGTGAAGCAGTTCTAATTCGACGTGCTCGACATCTTGCTTGTACGCTTCTTTCACGTGAACGTAGACTGCTAATGGTTCAGTTAAGCAACCGACAACCAAGTCTGCTACTGCTAGACTGAGTACAAAGAAGTTAAACGGATTTCGAATGTTTTTTTTTGATGTTTTTAAAACTGCCAAACAAACTAGAAAATTCCCTGGTATTGTCACCATTGCCAATATGCACGAAAATATAGCGATCGTGTAGGATTCGATTGGTGATGGTGGCAAAATATCTTTGGCCAAACATCTTTTGTGCAACACCATAGCTTATGAAAATTTTTCCCTGATGCTCAAAGCTCAAATCAATTTCAGAGCACCACGACTTTGCCTTTAAAGAGTACTTTTCACACTAAGGTACTTGTGTAGTAGGACTCGTTGTTGCATCAGACGTAGAGGTTATCCTTTGTTTGTTGTAGTCACTGCAATTGTTCTGATTGTTGCCAATACGGGTCACACCGAACTTTCATTTTTTTCTTTTGTCGACGTGTGCCTGTGACATTTTTTAAGTAGTAAGTTAAGTTATTTTCAACAACTATGGGATGTTTTCAATTATCACATTCAGCATTGTATTTGCATAATCTCTTTTACAACTTTATGTAAAAGCAAAATTAAATCATTACCTTACATGCAAATGTATTAACAGAGAATTACTTCGCACTTTGCCAAAAGAAGGAAATTGTTTTAAAATACACTTTAATTTTCTTTTGATTTTATATGTCGTTTGTCCTACATATCTTTTGCGAACGTATCTATCTTCTTTCTTACTTTATTTTTGAGCATCAAGTATTTTTTCGCCAATTATATTTCAAAAAGTAGACAAATGTTGCGTCAATAATAATTTTGTAATAAATTGTCAGCTCAACGACGCGCTACAATATTCAACAAATTGTTACCATGAAATGATTTCTGCAAAGTAATTTTCTGCGACATGCACGGCCGGAATTTTAGTTTGGGTTTAATGACCTGTTCTCCTGATGATTCACTTTTCAAACTGTTTATCTCAACATTGTCGTTTCAATATGTCATGCAATTGTGTATTCAACTCTATTTTCACTTGATATAATGAGATTCTCTTAGTCAACTTTTTAGGTTATTGGGGCGTGTACTAATGAATGAGTGATGTTGTTGACGAGAGATTTTAATATCACAGTCCTCGACAATTTGCTAAAATTCATTTTGTTTGATTTCATCTTGTGTGGTTACATAATGAATTGGCTCAGCCTAGCATTGTCATTTTGTCGGCTTTCTTTTTGCTAGCACAGTTCAATTCGTTTTCATTCGTCTTTTGTATAGTCGCTATTCTTAGTCTTTGTGGGATATCAACAACTTTTCTGTCTCTTTAAAAATTGCAATCTTCATAATTAAGCGATAATATTTTCAGTCTTTATATTCATCTATATGTATTTACAATAAAGTTTTACACCTTATTTTTAGCTATCTAGAACAATGATCAATGCCTGGTATATTGATGCCAGAATATCAATGGCTATGTTTTTACAGGTTTATTCAGAATTTTTTCGTTCACTTAAAAAGTTGGTTGTCAACAACGCCTCACATAATTTAAGGAAAATACTAAATAACTTCTACAATATTTATATGAATTAGTTTTTTTTTGTTATCTGCTATGAATTGATCCACCCCATTTCATGTAATAGGAGCTTCGCTACATACTTTTTAGCAGAGTTGATGCTGGAGCACACAATACTGTAATTTTCATGCATTAGAAAAAAAACAACTAAATGCAGCTACAGATAGTTTGAGCTGGAAAGTTGAAAGTCACTGAAACAGTTTACACGTATACCTATCTGTTTTGCAGCACATGATAGTAAATTTCTTGTGTTCACAACTCGTGTTTCATTTAAAAGAGAAAATCTAACGTACCTTTAATATTTTGAGAAGCAGTGATAGACAGTTTCAAAAATGCGTCTCGTGATTCAAACCATGCAGTTGAGACGGATTTACCGTAGCAATTTGGTTAAAATTGGCCAAGCTGCGTTTATATCCGTTGTAGCTTTATGTATGTAATATTATTTGTGTCCCTCGAAACGTTTAACAGCCAGATCATGCTGTGGACAGTGCTCTGCTGCTTTGAAAATCACTTCGCTTTGCTAGTTAAATCAGCTATAGAATATTAAAATCCCGTTTTTCATGTTCAGCATCTGCTTCAAGAAATTGCTTTCATAATTAATTTTCAATTCGTGTGACACCGTTTGCCTACTAATTTCTGTAACTCGGTTTCGTAATCAAAACTTTAAAGAAAGTTATCATATCTACGTTTGCTCAGCTAGCTATATTTTTTTCTTAACTATTTAAAACACTTTTGTGATTGTTCAATACATGAAGCATACATCATAGTTATTTCTTGTTTCAATTTTGAGAGCACCATTGTCCATGGGGTATTATTAGCATTTATATTGAACTTTTTCTTTACTATATTAAAACATAGTTTTTCTAATTCATAAATCTCATTTTTGAACTTAATGCCTTCATCTCATTAATCGTATATAGCATACATATATTGTTTAATTTGTCGTTAGTTTGTTTTGTTGTTTTGTCCACTTTTTATAATGCATTTTAAACTTTTCGTTCCCGTTCTATTTTTGTCTTTTTAGTGTGGTATGAAAATTTAAACGAATATGTATCACTCGCACAGATTTTTAAAGTTGGGATTGTCCTTATGTTTTCTCGTCTCAGCAATTCTTCCATTCAAAGCTCTTTTTCACGCATTTGGCTATTTAAAGATCCCAAAGCAGACATATAGATAAAAACTGTAAAGTAAACATTACCGGTGCGATGGCGATCTACGTGTTATATTTCAAAGGGTCGTTGCATGCTTCATAACTTTGTCAACTTTGTGTTACGAGGATATTACTTTATTACCTGAACTTGTCAGTCAAGAACAGAAAAATGCCGAACCTTTCCTTTGCGTTACTAAGATCCTTTGCAATCGCGCTGTAAAATGCGTAATATTGACAGTTCTTCGTATGTTGTTGATGTTCGGGTATGAATAACTTTTTTTTGGTCTCTTTTAATAAGCAATAGCAATTAAACTCTTGATAACTATGACTTCGATATCCGGACAAAATGGAAATGGGCCAGGAAAAGAACAGACATTTTATTCATGAGAAATTATCCATTACATCATGCGCTGCGAAGTAATGTTACTGAATTAGTCACACGTTTATCGAGCAGATTTTAAATGAGCACAACGAGACAAGCAAAAATTATTCATTCCGTAACCCACGATTCGACAAGTTATTGTTGAGAGCTTTCACATCTAGTATGGTTCATGTTATTCATTCACTTTTTGTTTAAATAATTATTCTTGGATAGATTTACCTTTCAAAGTTGTTCGTAAATAGTAAAATTGAGCATTTTGGCAAATTTGATGCAAAAAAACGTGACTTTTATCGCAAACCTGTTTTAAAAACACCTGCTTCTGTTGATTGCTTTGGTTGTGTTTTAGATAGATAATGCATCGATGTCAAAATTATAGCCTCATATTGTCTTACAGTGATACGTCAGTGTTTACTCATCTTTTGAAAATTACAGTTTTCAATTACACATAAGTTAGCTAAAGTCTTTTATGCTTCCGTTTTCCTCGCGTGGAACTTTTCTGGTTGCATTTGCCTCAGTTAACCTAAAATGCACCGTAGATGTTCATTTTTCGTCCACTTATATACAAGTGTTTATGAGAAGAAAGCTGGCATTGTATTGCCTATCTTTATTCATCAATGATAAATGTACGATAAGAAATGAGTGAAAGGCAAAGTTAAATTCATTCACTCAATAACAGTCTTCGATCCTCTGCGGTCGTAAAATCGGTATGTTGACTTGACGTACGAAGGATAAGCTCTCGTTGTCATTTAGCCCTTGCAAAATCGCAGCATTACCTTTTCGACATCTGAAACGTCTGTCGGAAGTAAATTTCACGGTATTCACCAATCGCACTCTTGTGACTTCTGTGTTAGCTGAAGGTTGTTAAGCTCATCAATATATGTAAGTTTGCTCCACTTATGTACTTTGATAAGCCGAATCTTTGTACCTGTTTCTCATTTCCATCAATGTTTCCTTACGTTTAATTGCGTGGACTCAGTGCCTCCAGAGAATCAGCGCAATTTAGTTAGAAAACCTTCAGAGGTAACTAAGAACAAAAGATTTTACAGATACAATTAAGATTAGCTTGCGTTAAAACTGAAAAATGTTTGAATGCCTTATGTATGGCATGTTTTCTGCTGATAATCATGGCACCACTGATTCTAATAATATCCCTGTACAAGCAGCCTACCCAATTCTGTATGTAAGAGAGTGCTACCAATATTGCACTAAAAGCACCATAACTGTATATCAGATCATGTTAAATGTGACAATGCTTCCTCTGTTCGTTGTTTCTTGTACGCTTCAAGAGCTTTTTTGGGGGGAATGAGCGAGTCATTAACCCCCACTCTTCGTTTGCGCTTTACCATTGTCGTTGGTTTGAAATGATCGTTTTCTTCGTTTCTCTCCCACTTGCTTTTTGAATTCTTTTGTTTGAAAAATCTACGTGTGTTTTCACTGCGCTGAAATATAGTCATGTCCCTAGATGAATCGTAATTGTTTCCTTCACTCAACTTTACGTGTTTTTCGAGAATTTCCAGTTTTTCCTCATCTTTTACTTTGAACGGATTGAAAAATACTGAAGCTGTGTTTAATTTTGTCGGGGAACTAGTCAATTTCGGTGTATTTTTCAGCATGTCTGGCAGATGCAGTTTTTCCTGATAATCATGTGTTTTAATAGGATATTTTTGATCGTCCTTTTCCTCTGTTTTGTTTTCTAATGACGATTCAGTACAGCTTTCGTCTTCGCTTTCACCGCCGTAATCAGCAACAAGACCCGCCATGTTTGTTTACATTTTTGTATTGAGGGAAACGTCATGTAGTTGAAACATTTAGGCTATTGTAAGATGCATGGCAGATTGTGCTGTAATATTTTTCATCTCTTATCAGTTATCACCCAACCCCTTTACATGTGAATTTAAAAGGGTTGCATCGCAATTACTTGTTGTTCTTAAATGTGCAGCATAACGGAATAAAGGGTCATTAGTAATATATTATGGGTTGACATCCAAATAATATGAATTTTTACCAAATCCGAGTGGTATGGTAACGAAGTAAAAACAAAAAAACGAAACATTGAACAATCATCATAGCCATAAAATAAATATTCAAATAAAATGATGTTCATGTTTACAGCATGATATACAAGCAATTATGACGGTACATTTAAATGGACATGATTGTTCAGTAAGAGGTTGTTCATTTACGTGTCTGTGATTTCTTACTCCATGCTACCTGTAGCACTACTGTCCATTTTGCTGTCACCAAGAGAGGCTTTGCTGTCTTGAACTTCCACCATTGATGATGCTGCAGACACATCTAAATATATAACACAGAAAAAAGAATAATCCTAGCATATACTTAATTTGTTGCACATCTCATTTAGCATTATCAATAAAAATCGAAAAAATTCCAACTTCAAATCATTTCCATTCAACAATGAGAAGCTCGAAATTTGTTGATTCTCATCGTGTTGTAATATCAAAGAATTTTAAAAAGCAGCTTTTAGATGACTGTAGAAACTTATTTCGAGTAAAACAGCACGTGTATTTAAAGCAAGTAAAAATATATTATATCATACCGACATCTCGCAGCATATTATAGCCTTTTGAGTACAACTCTAACGCGTGCGAGTGATAGTTGAGCTCGCTTTTTGTGAAGGAAAGCAACACAGCGCGCAGTTCCGCAATGCGCTGTTTATCAAATGATTCCAGCTCCTCTGTGAGCGCCTGAAACGCTTTTTCGGTTTCCAAAACCGAGGCGAGGAGCGAAGAGTGAGCTCTAGCAAACTTTTGATTATCAGTTGGTTCCGATTCTTTGATTTTCTTGAAATATTTCTCTTTACGATACTCTTCCTTGCGTGTTTTCATGGCATGGTCTATGTTGAACGATGCTTGCTTGCATCGACAACGAGACAGAGACAATTCTCCAATAACCTTCATAAAATTAACATCGTGTCACAACTCGCAATTAATTTTATCATTTATGCGCAGCGCCGCGGCAGATCAAGCTTTAAATTCCCAAGTAAGCAAAATACATTATGTGTCGTACAAATTTAAAGGCCACGGAATAACTGCCATTGGAAAAAAATAGAATACTCGGTTATACACATTTGACCTGTATCGTTCAAAGTGCCAGAACAAATTTTAAAAAAATTCTGTAAATTCAGAAATGGGATCGTCCCAGTTCTACTCACTTTGCTATTGAAATTTCCAACTTAATACGTGGCTAAAATATAATATTAGTGCAAATATGTTTAAATTTATGTGAGAAAATGCATGAAACAAATATTCTACCTTATCGTAAATCATTGACACATGCTTGTTTTTGTACTCGCCAACATCGACTAAAATATTTGAAAATTTCTCCAAGGTATTTTTGAATTTTCCATTTTCTGCCAACACGATCTTCCCGATACTGCTACTCACTTCGTCGTTGCGTTTTCTGCTCTTCCTCAAGCTCTCCGAGTATCGTTCTATGTTTTTTTTCAACATGGATATTTCTTTCTCGAGTTTTTTTATGTTAACTTGTTGTGTAAGTATCAATTCATCGTATTTTTCATTTTTGCTTGTTGCTTTTATCTTTTCACTCATACTTGTTTAACTAAGTTGAGGCAATGTATCGAGTTAGAAATTATTCATCTCGAAAGCGCTTTATAGCTATGAACTGTTGAAACGAATGTGAATAGGACAAGCTCTTGCACACTTCCAATTTTCAGTTGTGACGCAACATAATTTGCAACTAATCTATTTTATGGACACTGATCTATACATTGCACCAAAATCGTTAAATTAATTAGAACTATATTTGCACACGAAGTTTCACGGATAATTTATTTGACCATCACAATTCATTCTCAGCGAGCACTTTATTTTTTTTCGTCTGGAGCTTCTTATGATGTCGATGAGACTTGGAGTGTTGATGAGCTTCCCAAGATCTGTTTCCAATAATTATTCTGTTGTTGCATACCTCACAGACATGATTTGCATGTTTGGCTTTTATATCTACAACAACACGCTCTAAAGGAGCGTGGTTTACTTTATCCCCATGACGAAAACAGTTAACAATATCCACAGCTTTCCCTAGGACATTGTCCTCCCACATTTCAAGATTGGTCGCGTCCAAACCATAAACATCCGGTGAGGAGTTAGAAGGACGACCCAAGAATCTGTTTTTCACCCACCTCACTTGCCTTCGTGCGTACCGACGCGTCGCACTTTTCATGTCATCCACGCATTTTTGAAACAAAACTGGATCTTGTTCAGCTCTTTCGTAACCTAATTCCAAAAATTTACGGAACTCCTTAAAGCCAATACTCTGCAGAATACCAATGCTGCTATCAGCCATTTCAGTTTTCCAAGAAACGTAAAAGTCAACCAGCTCTTCCACAAGGCCCATTTCAATCATTTTGTCTACTCTTGCATCTAATCTTTTATCAAGGGTCTCAAAAGCGCACTGCAACCACAGAACACAAACGTTGTTGAATCTCATGGGCCCACTATAATTAGTTGAGCCCTTTAGAGAATGTTGTTGAGCTAATAACTCGCTGTGTCTCATGCCTGAACGCTGATACACTTGAAGACTTCGTTTTATCTTTCTTATATCATTTGGGTGCAATATTTTCGCCATTTCTGGATCAATACTCGCGAGCTCCTTGTGCAACAGCAAGTTGTTTTCGCAGATTTTTTTATCTTCATGTACACCTTCTTTAGAATTGCTTTCATCGACGTTCAGATTTAGAATTCCACTGTGAGATCCTCCAGCGTGATCTGTGTTCGCGTTACAGGGTGAATTATCTTCGTTCAGTTCATCGTTCCTAAATATTGAGTTGATATGTTCATTGGATTTCTCCAATTCGTTGATTAGTTGATCCCACAACAGAGATTCAATATAATAATTCGTGCCGCCTACAATTACTGGGATTTTTTTTCGCCTATGCAAATCAGCTATTGTTTCCAATGCTGTAGCTTGAAATTTCACTACGGAATATATGTCGTTCGGTTTAACGAAATCGAGCAAATGATGTTTAACTTGAGCCTGTTCTTCTTTTGTCACCTTATTTGTCACAATATCAAGTCCTTCGTAAACTTGCATCGAATCTGCACTTATTATTTCACCTCCAATTTGACGGCCAATTTCGATTGAAAGTTTGGATTTTCCTGTTCCCGTACAGCCAAGGATGATAATTAGCAACGGTTCATTTTCCCTGCTATTTTCTCTTTCCATTTCTCTCACAAAAGTATATCGGAATTATACTGAAAAGTGGTGATTTGCTAAGTTTTTGTGCACTGAAATTTTATTTCGACCTCTCCAATTATTATATTGTAAGCTTAATTTTCAATTCTGACAAAAAAACTGAGCGTAGGACAGTTATCTGCTACCATTGATTTCTTTTAAAATTGAACGGTTTTGAAAACAAACATGGCGGCGACTAGGAAATTTTGGAAGAAAAACTTCCACTTCAAAAACTATTTTTATCATTCACTTCATGATTTCTTTCACTTGAATGCACTATGCCATTTCAATGAATGAGAATTTATATGACATAATGGATTGCTCAAATTTATTTCAAAATTTTTTAGTTGTGTATTACCATTCTTAGCGATGAATCATGAAAACAATCTTACAAAACATGCTGTGTCAGCGCTTTACCAAACATACCAAACTGAAACATAAGGATTTTAAGCCTCGTGCTTTATGTCGTGATCCTCGTGGAGTCGTGGATCGCCGAAAGTAATTTATCCTGACATGGAACTCAGTGGCAAAAGAAAACGTGCCAATTTGAGTTTGAAAAGCTTAAAGAAACCTGCCATAAGCAATGCAGTTAATGGAAATTTCACAACGTACGTATCAAATAATGAAAATTCTTATGTTCATGGTGAGGAACCGCCATTAAATACGAATGAAACTACTGAAAACAGGTATGCACAGAATGATTCATGGATTCCTAATGTACAATTTTTGTCAATAATAGCTACATCAAAAAATTGTTGATTTTTTAAATAAGCCACTGCCTGATTCTTCCAGGAAGAAGCTGCTTGACCTGATGCCAATTTTTCCAAGTTGGCAGGAGGTGTCCCACCTTCCACTCAGTTCTCTATTCGTAAGTATTTGCAGAATTCTCCAAGAACAAATCTATGCATTGTAATTAGTTGCATAGCCAGCCTGCAAATTTTTTTATGCTTCATGAATATGCATGTTGTGTATTAAACACCATTTAAAACCTGGAGGTCACTTTGCACTTTAAATTTGATGAGTTACAAAATAACCATGAATCTTGTCATTGTAAAAAGTTGCACAAGTAAGAGCATTAGTATGATATGTTGATGTTCGGTGATAACCCAATTTTTTGTTGTTTTGATCTTTGATGAAAGATGTTTATTGTGTTTGCACAAGCTTATGGAAACTAAGGAAACCTATAGGAAAACTTGAGAGAAGATCAGTGGAAGCTTGAGACCGAAGCTCAACGGTTGCACCTGCTCAAGAGTTCTCTCACAAACATCTGAGACGTTTGCATAAGCCAGTGCAAACATGAATAACCAATTTTATTTCTTTTATGAAACAGCAAAATTGTGAAACAGATAAATTTAAGTTAAATGCATTTTCCTCTAGCATGTAGTCATGATTGATTTGAAAGTTATCTTTAATTGTTTTAATGGAGCTCAGATCAGTTTGCACAGCCTAATGCAAGCTCAGCTTGTTCAGAGAAACTGGCATGTTTAGTGCCAAATATATTATGCATTGCAGTGTGCCAAGCAATGTGTGTATCAGCAAATTCAGGCAGTGACTGAGCTTTCTAATAAGTATAGGTAAGTTGTTTCGAGCAATTTGCTGCTTAGCATAGAATGCAAAATCTGGCACAAATTGAGCAAAAAACTGCTAAATCAAATTTCCTTGAAGTGGTAATAGTTATGTGTATTTGGTGTGTAGCAAATGAGTCAGAACATGATATCTAGTTTGGAATTATATCAATACTTTGTAGATAACCTCTGTAGAACCTAAAAATGATCTTAAAGAGGATATTAAGGAGAAAGCATCAAACGAGAAGTCAAAAAATGACTATAAAGATCTTCCGAAAGTTAGTTCTCACTTCTTATCTCATAAGTTCAAGGCGGACGTTCTTACGTTGAGTCGTAGAGACTTTGATGAAAGTGGATACGATAAAATGCGTAATGATACGCCTCGTGAAATAAGTAGAGAGTTTGAAATCTTCGATGAAGAGTTGACCATGGAAATGTTGAATGATGATTTTAATGAAGGAATTGTTGTTGAAAAATGTTGTGATACTAAGAAAGATGATAATAGTAAAAACAAAAGACAAGATCGTCGTATTGATGAATTAAAAAAATCACCTGTTGAGGACAACAGTCATTTCGCCTTGGAAATGCAAGATATAGATTTCGATGAGGAAATTCTTGTTGATATGGATAATGAACCATTGAACATTAAATTTAATCTTAAAAATTACAGTCAGAGAAACAGACAGCTCCCTCAGGCAGATTTATTGCTGAAGAAAGATTATTCTCTCGATGGAAAACAAGTAGATGCTGTCGCTCAAAATTACATTTGTAAGAGCGAAGAAAAATTCGAAGTTATTGATCTCACCGATGTTTCTGACTCCTCTAAGGATTCAAAGAAAAGAGGATTTGAGAAACGTAAAATGGAGAATGCTGCTGTGAAAGATGATGGAACTGGAGGAACGAAAAACATTTTTCATTTCAGTTTCAATAACAGCAATCCCAAGATGAATATCGCATGTGATAATGAAAATCTTAGTGATTGTAGAAAAATTGTGTCAAAGAATTGCATCGATGCTTTTGACGGAAAGAGATCGGTAAATTTAAAGGAAAGTTCAAAAATATCTAACGAATCGACTTCAGAAAAGCGCAATCGACAGATAAATACTGAACGTTTTTATCGTGTTAAACCACAAAGAAATAAATCTTCCAAAAATGATTGGTTTAAGAAGAGTCATCCTGAAAAGAGCAAAGATAAAAGTGTTTTTAAACAAGAAACTGTAGATGTAACGTGTTTACGGAATCCCCTTGGTGAAGAAATACATAGACGCGGGGACTTAAAAAGGCTTTATGATCACACCACAGAATCTGAGGGCTCTTCATCTCGCTACGAAGGAAGAAAGAATTTTTTTAATTCAACCCTTGGAAAGAGCAGTCAAACAAGTAAATATTTCGATGTCATAAATAAGCGAGACAGAACTGATGATTCCTTTGTGCGGAAAGATACATTTACAGATAAATGTGGGTTATTAGGATCAAACAAGGACCATTTTGAATTAGACGATGGTCTCGATGAGCTTCTAGCTAAGAGTTTTCAATATGATTGGGATTGTGATGAATTTGCTAGTGCACAAGAGAATAACAGTTGTTCCAAATACACAAAAGAAATAGAATTTAAAGATGATAGCATAAGAAAGGCTATATTTAAACATGATATACATGACAAAGCATTGACAATGTCTTCTAATGAAATCGGGTCGCCAATAATTCCATTCAAACAAAATTCACTCAAAATAAAAGATTACAAAGTCTCTTCTTCTAAGGAACGTAAAAGAAAATTGCATACATTAGATGAACATTTAAACAACGATGACCACATTAACACCATAAAAACAGTTACGGAATGTCCGTTTTGTGGGCAAGGATTTGATACCAGGTAGGGCATAGACAATTTAATCGTAGAAGTCGGTTATTTTTCTCGATTTCTTAGAAACCGCTTTGTTGAAATTAATCGTCATTTCAATGCACCCAAAACTTATAGGCTCGCTAAGAGGGATATTGATGAACATATAAGATTTTGCTGCACAAAAACTATTGGTAATGACGATGGGTTAAGTTGGTAGACGATATCCATGTGTGCTCGATGTTGTGGCCAACGATGAAGTGGTAAGTTATGGTAAAGGCCATTTCATTGATATGGACAATAGATACTATTCAGCATGCTATGTCATTGTGTATTTCACTTTTTTAATGATATAAGTATTATAACTACAAGAATTTCCTAAAAACATGAAATTGTTTCCGATATCTTTCTATATTGGACTCCAAACTGTCACATTTTTTAAGGCTCAGTTCTGCTAACGTTTTCAACCATTGCTCATCGATCAACTTGTTCAAAGTCGGACTGTGCTAAAATATGTAAAATATAAGTTTTGTAAATCATTATTTTTGAAAAGTGTAAATGTAAATATATTGATATATGCTCACTTTGGTTTTTAACTTGAGGAAATTTTTCCACGATCTACAATAAAATTGCCAAATAATTGATACACCACTAAACTGATTTTGAAAATATATCTTAATCTCTCCATTAAATAATGTTATTTATTATTTTTAGATTCGAGTGTACATGAAGCCTCATAATTAAAGCTTCATGTTTCCTGTTGTCTCTTTTTCTTGAAAAGGTACTTACTTTGTCTTGCTTTATCTGTCGTTTCCTTTGTTCGTAATGTTATTCCAAATATGTCTTCGTGATAAACTCCATTGTTCTGTAGTTATAGCAGTGTATTGTGTATAAATTGACTTAGAAAAAACATGCAGACTTTCAAGATCATATTTTAAATTCCAGCAGCTAAATATGTTACCTTCATATTACCAACAAAGTCTTTCGTGTTTTTGTTTTGTTTTGTACCTTCCTGTTGAAGTGCATGCTGTTCGAATAGAGGACAAAATTTTACTTCTTATTTTTTGTGTACATTATTCACGAGCATTCACAGTACTAATGATAATAATCTAGTCTATAACAAATGCAATATTAGTAAAACAAAGAAGCAATGTTAGTTTAGTTTACCTCAAGTGATGTGTGAACATCATTTGCCATTGAAACATCCCCACAAACGTAGAAATGCCCCCTCTTGTTTACTAACATATCATAAATTTCGACGACATTTTGTTTTATTAGATCCTGAACATAGGTCTACAAGAGAAATATAAGAAATGCCTTTTATAGAAATATGTCTTGTTCGATTACATTTCTGCTTGTTTCGATGACAGTCAGACATACTTTAAAACGCAATGAAATCTAGGTGTAGGGGTATTATTCAAGAGATAATGCCAGGAGTAGGCCGACGTTTCATATATACAAATTCTGTCTTAAGATTTGTATTTGAAAATAGTATATTGTGTTTGCTGAAAATTACTGTTATATATTGACAGCGAGTTACTTTCGTGTATGGAGTGGTGCAATTTTGAGATAAGGAAATTGGATAACGTAACATCTACGAGAGAAACTTTCCAATAACAATTATAACAATATGTATATAAAACATTGACGAAAAATTAAGGCATGGGTAGCTAGTGATCAAATTCAAAGTTTTGATTTTCCCTTTTTGTATTGTAATGGAAAATTACCTTAGGAATATTTGGCTCTCTTGAGAATGCCGTATAAACGTTATCTAATCCTCCTTCTTTCATTGCATGATTTGTCTCATTCTTATAAATATTATCATGTTGTGCCATTCGACATCCAAAATATAAGCTCATTGGTCCCCACGTTTGACCAAGACTAGTTCCTTTGTCGAAAATGTAAATGATAAATATACAATAACATAGTCATGTTGTCGTTTTAAGTATTTAAACAAAAAAGGCGAAACCTATTAATGTTTTTTAAGTTCAGAGTGCTAAGGCAGTTATTTATTTAAGAATATCATGATGCTTTTATCAAAATAGATTTTCTGTTTCTTATTAACCATTCTCCTGTGCAACGTATGAAAACAAATAATAGATACATATATATATATGCATTTACAATCGTTTCATACTTGATTTATGCATGCAATAGTTGTAAAACTGTTATTGCATAAGATCTTTAAGATAAAAGCTTCCGTCATATCATGAGGTAAATTTAATAATGTTTTTTTTTAATGACAATAAACATGGCGTCCATGTGAACCACCAATTACTTAGAACATCCAATAATAATACGTTTCTTTGTTTAAAATACTTTATATGTACTTCAAAAACGATTTCATGAACAATAACAATCAAAACCTAATTGTCGCCCACCAACGCGGTATGGTCACGTGTACATTAGTGTACTCATGCTACACCTTACTTAACAAATTGTAACCACAGTATAGAGAACATACAGTAGGGCCACTCTATTAAATTTTTTTGTGCCACGCATATCTTATTACGCATGCTATAACCATACTGGCAGCTAGTAAATTGCATTGTGTGACCAATAGGATTGACGATATAGCAAAGGGCAGCCAGTAAACTAATTAAATATACAGCAGCCAGTTGTATAGCGAAGTGGTCCTACTGTATATTCCTATACTGTGTCGTAACAAATACGTATGATTTACTCATGTACTATACAACTTTCATACTGTATGGTATCTAGAGAAATGAAGAATGTGGGTCTAGAGTAGACTATAGCAAAGCTAATCAATTTCCGAACTGTGTTCTTACGCTTTTTAAAATATTGGTATTTTGTAGACTTACGTTGGTGCTTTCCTTTGTCTATTATTTTGTTGTTCCTGTCAAACATTCGTTGCTGCCAAAAACTGCGGAATGGTGCAATACCAGTACCTGGTCCCACCATAATTACCGGCAATGATGTATCTTCGGGCATATGAAAAGAATGCGCACTAAAAAAGCAGCAAACAAAAACACTTAGTTAAAGATGCAATTAGCTGTGAGTCATTCGAAATTTAAGGTTAATTAGTTTTCGCGAAATGATTCATGAAGCCCAAGATTAATATATATTTGCAAGCCATAGTGATGTACTTACTGTCTAATTGAGCAGGGTATTATGTCACCAGGTTTTAAACTCTCCAACCAAGTGGAACACACTCCATTATGAATCGAGCCTTTTCCGTCTGTTTCAAAATTTATTAGATTTACTATTTATACTTCGTTTAACGAAAGTCAAAATTAGTTTGTTTAAATTCCCAAATATTGCATCATTTCCTATTATTTTCTGATCGATATTAAGCATGTTTCTGCCATCAAAATTTCAAAATACGCTACTAGTTTTCATTATGTCTAAAAATGGGAAAACGGTTGTGTCTGCTATGTTTATGACTTTCACAAAAATTTGCATAAAATTCTCATAATCTTTTACTATTTTTTATGAAATACACGCCATGTATACAAACTTACTTTCTTTCTTGAATCTTACAACAGCTACTGTCGCATGAATCTCGTCTGGATAGACTTGGGGTGACGATGAAATGGAGTAGAATCTCTGAAAGGTGCGAAATGACTTGACATTGTACTTATATGCCATTAATTGTACACGCGTCATTCAAAAAAGGGCCTGAATTCGAGTTTTCGATGACCTGAGAAGTTTGGATTTTATTGCTTTTTTTGACGTGCACAAGTAAACACCAACATATAACTTACGGGTTGCAGTCGAGGTAGTTGGGTCAGCAAAAGTGCTGCTGGTACTTTAAGGGATGAAAAATCTTGAATGACTTCAACGATATTTTTGTTTTTATGATATTTCCATTCTTCGTATTCGGATTCTCCCTGGGAGAAGTCAAACAAATGGTGGACAGATTGCATGCTTTTGTTGAATCATGTGATAATCATGTTTTGTTTTTGTTATATTGTTACCTTTCCTAAAATTTCCAGTTCTTTTTTTTCGGCTTCATTAGAGGTCTATTTAACAATGCCATACAATGTCTAATTTTAAAGAGGACAATGCAAAAACAAATCTATCTTTCATATTGTGCTTACCAGCGTGGAGAGATAGGTTAAAATTTGTGGCGATGGTGTAGAAGTAATGTCGATGTATCTCGAAAAGGCTTCTCTTAAGGTAAAGGGATTTGGAAGTGAGCTCATCATACACCATTTTGTTGTCTTACCAAACGGTCCTATATATCAAATAAATTGCCTTTTTACATTTATATAATGACACAGTACATTTTGCAGGGAAATATATTGATGGTATTCATGACATCTTTACATGGTCGCACACCAAGGATCAATCAAGAAATAATAAGATAAACAAGCCAAGTTGTTTACTTTTTTCCAAGATTATTCTATTCATCATTACTTCATGTTGTATAAACATTGTAGATGTTTACCTGATTCCTCTCTACATGTCTGCATGGTGAGCGCTTTGTCAGGTTGCGGTGCGTTGTGTAGTTTATTGAGCAGCGTGCTTACAAGTTTTACGTTATTGGCAGGAAATATAGAAACGTGATCGCCTGGTTTGAATGACATATTTTTCTCTCCGTTTGTATTGATTTTCACCAAAAGTGTGGCACGGCTAGTGATAAAAGAAAATGAAGTTATTGGTCTGCACAAGTGCTGATGACAAACGAGCTTTAAAAGACTCTAAAGTTGGTTGCTTATCCAGTTTACTTCTAATTGTTTCAATAATTTACTCTACCTTGCATCGCCGGACTGCAGATTAATTTGTTCAATCAATTTACATGGGTGAATTGTTCCACGATAAAGATCACTCAGGCCTTTGGAGGATAGGGAAAATAATGGATGAATAAATAACCGAGTTAAGCGTGGTTGGTATATCTGAGAGTGGTTAAAATATCGATAGAATTATAATAAAAAAGACCTTTAGTCCACCCAATAATCTCATAAACATATCATGATGTGGATTTAGATGAAACAGACAATGTAAACGTGCTCTTGAAAGACCCTTTTCTAATTCTTGTATTTTGTTCTTTCAAGCTTGAGTTAAGATAAAGTTATCCTTTGTACTCCCCAACAAGTCGTATTGTCTCACACGCCTACTTTCCTATGTACAATTTTGACGAATGTCTTCTTACTAGAAAAGAGTTGTTTACTTACTGACACAGAGTTCCGCTGGTTTTTCCTTTGAATGAACAAACTTAAATTTATCTGGTGACCATTTAGCAGAAATGGTGTCCAAGGATGTGGAGGAAGATGTCATGTTAGTATCCTCAATACAAAATGTTTCGCATGCGGCCTATATGTTACAAAAAGTTTTTGTTGTGTCCAACAAATTTCTCTAAATGGCCGGATTTCTATTGGTTTCTCTTATGTTGTTTCTTTCTTTATTATGAAATTGTATTGTTATTTCTGAGTTCTGCAGAATCTTCGTTAATTGCTTTTTTTGGAAATAAAATATAATCAAGACATATGCAGGGCAGGCAACTACAGTATCAATAAATGATGTACTGAGGCGGACACTACATTCGTTCTAATCCTTGTGGTACACTGTGGTTATTGCTGTTATCTTTACACTCCCGTACAACAATGTTTGCTTCAACTATACTTAATAATGTTATAGAAGAGTGATATATTTATGATTAAAATATATGACTTTGAAAAGGAAGAAAATGCTCAAGTTGAAGAGAAAAACTACCAAAATCAATATCAAAGAAAACGAGAACGGTAGAATTGTCAGGATGAAAAATTCACAAAACAGCCAAAAATGTGAGTAATATTTGAATGAATGCAATGAGATGCAAAGTTTACGTGTTTGTCTGCACGATTACCTTAAAGACATCCTTTGCCCAGTTTTTGAATGACTCTTCCTGGCCACATAACTCGTCCCCGGTTCCCAAGGATAAAATGCTCTCTCCTCCAAGCTCCAGAATGAGCTTGTCGAGAGATTTTGCAAAAGCACAAAAATTTGGATAGGCATTGGAACCAAGGCCGAAAATTGAATACCTGTAAAAAATTATTGAAACATCGTATTCCTGAAGAAAAGTTATTGGAATCTGTTTCAACATTTATTACCTTAAATTTGCCAGCGGTTGTGACTCGTTTCTAGTTTTTGTGCCATCATTATTCACGTCCATCAATAATTGGCTAATTTGTCTTCTGAATTTCGGTTTTTGTTCGCTGTGGTAAAAATCCAATAAGCCATTAATAGTCATTAACTGAGGCGCAATCTTTTAAGAGGTTTTCTCAATTTGTTCGAAAATCATGATTTTATTGGATAGGAGATTTTAGAAATAAAATTTACCTTTTTATGTTTGTTGGAGGGTGTCGTAGCTCATACAGCTCGTGTGCAAAACTCTAAAAATCAAGAAAAGTTAAGCTGTGTTTTATCGTTCAATCCTCAAGTAAAAGTCATCGGTTATAATGTCAAAACATTTCATGATACATCACAGGAAGAATTTGACTTTTTGAGTCATGAAATTACAATGAACAAGCTAACTTTATTGATATGTAAGAAAAAATAGTAAAACCTTCAGCTACCTCGCCATTTTCTGGTGCATCTCCGTTACCAAACGTACTCGTCACAATAAGCAGAAGCTCTTCGTACTCCAAGTCAGTGAAATCATACTCCACCATACAAAATACCTATTTTAATCAGTTTACGCACTGGTTATTGCTAGTTTCACGTTTATCTTGTTTGGATTGTTAAGCTTTCACATCACAGACACAAAACCATCATGAAAGTTGATTGAACGATATTGAAATGCTAAATACTCCTAAAAACTTGTACATTTACTCTGAAATAGTATGTTCTCTGACAGATAACGTTTTACTTCTTGTTGTAGTGGGTAGTTGACAATGATAAATAGATATGTGGCTCAATAAGTCGTCATTGATTCACTTCACTTACTCTTGGGTTAAAGGCGAAGGAAAACAGTTCTTTCAGCAAATTGGCATAGTGCTCTGATTTTCCCGTTTCTGTTGCGTATAGAATGGTCACCTTTTGTCTCTTTGCCATTGCATGTCCCATCAACTTTGCCGAGAACTCAACTGCTCTGCAACGGAAAAGACCAAAAAAGTCATACATCTTCAAACGTTTCTATAGTTAGGTGTGTCTCACATTTAATGTTTGTCGTTAACAATAAAGACAGTGCTTTTTTGAAACGATATTCTTTGACCTTTCTGATTTTCACAATGCTTTGTTGATAAAACTGTTGAAACATGCTCAATGGATTTGATTTCACAAGATTAATATGGGATCTTTTGTGTCAGTCATTGCCATTCCAGAGTCGTTTGATTAGAATTCTCACTTGATTTTTAATATCATGCGTACTTAGCTACTTGTTTGAACATCAATTTCTTTTTTTGTTCCTTTGTGGCACTGAAGTTGTAGAACTTCCATGGATCCTCCTGTTTATAAGATATTAGGATGACATGCATGGTCTTTAAGTTTCAAACATTTAAGACTTGCTATTTTTAATGGGATTTAAAGGAAATAGTGATGTTTTCCAACATATAAATAGGCTTGTTCAATCTTTTCATGTAATATTTTCAAAATGGTTAAGTCTGGGGTTGTGTTTACCTGATAGTCGTAAGACGGCTTCAAATTATAGTTGAGCATTTCCTATAACAATACAGTCTTTAAAATGCTTCTGAGACTAAATTAGAACATATACATCATATTGATGATTGAAAGTACTCCCATACCAAATGAAAAACTGGCGTAGCACTGCCCGAAATTGGTGGAACAATCCAGACCCAGTCTGCTGGACATCCTCCCCGAGCTCGTTCCTTTAAATAGAAATTATTTTTGTAGTAGCTGAAGTATCAACTCTAGTTTCTACATTATATTTAATGGATGAATATGCTAGTCTTCATGGAGCATGAGACTGAATTTTCATCTGAATTATATGAAAATTTAAGTTTTAAATATAAACTCGTTTCTTTCGTAGAATTTTCATTAGAATTATAAAATGAAAATTTGTATTTAAAATAAGAACTCGTATTCGTAACTTTCGTAGTTATTCATGATTTTACGATAAAACAAACGTACCTCATTCGCCACATGTTTTATGAAAGATTCTGTTGTGGTGTGATGGTCTGCAATCGTGATGTTGGCCAGCTAAACCACATGTGAATTGAAGGTTTTGAACGCTTTCTTTGTTTACAAGAAAACGTTTACTCAAAGTGCTTTGCGTCGCTTTTTAGTCGAAGTAAACATTAGGTGCAAAAGTAAACGCTTTTTTTAAACTTAAATATTAGAACGAGCTTTGAACTATAGTTTTGTTTAATTATAATGAAAAATCCATCTGAATATAATCAGGTTCACTTTTCCTTAAAGAGTAATGAAGAAAAGGTTTTACCAAAGCCATTACAGGCCTACCACATTCACTGTTCTATTACCAATTCTTGCAACAAACTGATTCGATGCTTTCAAAGTAAGTCTGAAAGGGAGAGCCCAATCTCCCCCTTATTGATTCAACCTATCGATTTGTGTAACTTATGCTCATGACCCGGGAAACCTCAGGGCGGTATTTTTGTGCACCGAAGCGCACTATTCTTTATGGTGGAGTTGTTTTGTTTGTGATACGTGTAACACCACTAAAAATTGTGTAATGGTAGGTGTAACACCACTATAAAGTGTGTAATAATCGGTGTAACACCACTATAAAGTGTGTAGTGGTAGGGGTAACACCATTATAAAGAAAAGTGCGCTATTCTTTATGGTGGTGTTATTTTTGTTTGTGATACATGACTGCAACATACCTGAAAACTGTGTAGAACTGCGATATTTAATTCAACCAAAGCTTTATCTTTCCATAAAGATCCATTGTTGCTTGTATTTAATCCCATTTTTTCGGCGATCGTCTGATATATAATAATATTTTTAATCAATCAGGTTATTTAAATTACGAATCTTTTAACAATATTATGATTATAAATATAATATGAACAATAGTTGTCTAGGCGTTTGGAATTTAATGAAGTACAAGATGAAACAAACCTTAGGGTATGTTTCCTTTAATGTTATAGAGATGAAAACATTTTTAGCTATTTTTCATTTATGATATAATACCGGTAGCATGTTGTATCTGTACGTATCACCAAAGTTTCGTGCTCCAATTTCTGTTCCCATGTACCTTAAACAAAAATTATTATTCAAGTTCAGATTGCTGTGAAAGCTCGGCAGAAATACTGAGCCCGTTGAACTGAGTTGCATGAAACGCCTAGCTAGATTGGACCAGATGGTTTGCAACTAAATATAGGTTTTCCGCTTTTAGTTTGTTCATGAAGTACTATGTATTTTTGCAGCCATTAATGTTCTTATGAAAAATTCGTCCATGCGACTTACCATCCATTGAAAGGCGTTGCAGGGTATTCTATTCCTCCACAGTTTAGCATCAAACTAGATACTGCAGGCAACGCATACCATTTCAAACCCAAATCTTCAAACCATTCGTATCTATATGAGTAATGATAGAGTTGATGTATGACAAAATCTTAGTAAAGCTTTTCTGATGGCTAGCCATAAAAATTGACCCCGTTGTACAAACATGCGACAAAAGTGTACAATGGAAGTCAGATCAAGAAACAATAGACGAAAAAGGTTATGCATTGACTTATTTTAAATGATTAATCATAAAAAATTTAGGTATTCTTTCAAAAAATAATGTATTATTATAAAGAATCTGGATTGTTAAACTGCGCAATAGCAGAACACTGTCTCCATAAGGTCAGAATACAAAATTTACTCATCATAAACTTACTCTGGATGCGACATTTTCACTTCCAAGATTATATCCCTCGGGATTTCAAAAAGTTCGGGTTCTTCTCCATTTGCTTGCAAAATTAGCGGTAATATATCAAAGCGACCATATTTCGGCTGCCAACCAAAGCTGATGCAAATCTATATAAGAAAAAATTGATTAGTTTTTGTTATAAATTTTTCAAGGACAGTTTGGAACATTTTGTGTGTTAATGTTCTTTCCAAGTCCTCGATTATTTCAAAGATTATAATTGCATGCACAAATAGTAAAAAAGATGCCTGATTTGCGACTATATACCTCTGTAAACTCGACACTAACTGGATCTCCAATGATTGAACCATCTTCTAGTTTATATCCAGCGTAACGGATGAGTTGAGCGTTCCAAATGCGGAAATCGTTTCCAGCACCACGACGCTGCGGAAACACGGTTATTGCTGATCTGAAGGGAAGAGTTCGATATTTTTCATTCCTCTGAGCCGGATTCTGGTTTCTTTATAAATTTCTCTTAGTTTGATTTTTGTTCACCTCAAGTTTCCCTTGTTGGTACCATATTTGATATGTTTACAAACAGCTTCAAACATTTGTTGTGCATTAAACACATCTCGACAATCAAATACCTATTGTTAAAGTTTTGATAAGTTTACACATTAAGTAGCAGGTCTTTTTGTGTTTATTTATTAAACTTAAGCAACTTGAAATTGTTGTTAAACGTTAACATCTTTATATAACATTTACTAGATGATTCAACCCAGACTCCCACTATTTGTTTATTAACTGAAACTTCTTGTTGCGTTTCGTCATCTTTTAGAAAAATCATTAACTTACCTGTAATTTATTCCATTGGATTCTTCCCACGCATCTTGGAGCGTTTCTCCATGCAAGTTTGGCACCAAACACTAGCTCCTTTGCGTCCATTTCGTATGTCCCTTTTTCTTCAATTTCCTTTTTTACCTGCTGCACTCTGCAATTGTACGCTAGACTGTCCGCTCTTGATAAAAACAGGGAAATTCTTATTATTACCATTATCTCGATCCCTCAAGAAAGATGTATGAATCGTACTTTTTTATTGAGATGTAATATTGTCGTAAAAAATCTACAGCATCTTTCACCGCGATATCCTTCGGTAGTAGTTCACCATCTGAAGTGTTTTTACTCGGGAACATGATCGAACCTTTGCAGTAGTCTTTATTGCAATGCGACTGCTTAAAAACGTGAATTTTATTGATAATGTTAATGATTTGGTTCATCACACAGTGCATTATAAACTAAAATAAAAAAAACTCAGACGAGTGAGCCACGATATATTCATTTAATTCCAAAGAAATATATTGCAACATTTAAAGTACCCCCCTACCAGTTAAAAATTTTATTGTCGTTATTAAAACTATGTGCGATTTGTAGCGTATCCTTGTAAAAAGTATTTAGTTTGATGACTTTGGTCAAATCATTCAACAATTCTTGCATGCACGAGCTCTTAAAGATGTGGTTTTTGCAACTCTCCTGTTTTTCGAGGATTAATTTTCTGTTCATTTTTACCATCAGATTGAACTGAGAATGTTGAAGTACCCCTATCAGCACAAGTCTATAAAATATTTGGCTAAATTCATAGTTTTAATAAGCATTTCAAAATTTCCCCTTTTTATATACACTCTGTATTGTAGTGTTTGATAAATATTTAATGTTGAAAAATTTATTGTGATTGTCGATCTTACTCTATTTTTTTGTTCATGCAAGGTGTCCGTCACTTGCTTTTCTGTTATCCAATTTTTAAGTCGAACAAACTTTTGCTTATGATCGCCAATCGCCCGTATACTTGTCATCTGCTCACCATCATGGATGTTGGTCAACGAAGTATTGTTGGCAGACACACTCTTTACTTTTGACGATTGCATTGCTTTTAATGGTGAACCGATCGCCTTTTGTTGTCGTGTGTATAATTTAAACCGCGCTGTTGCTACTCTTGTATGCTTTGTTCAGCAGTTTTTGATCGTCTTCTTATGAAAAGGAAAATTATGTTAACTTGTTATGTAATTTGTAAATACTTTATTCCTTCGAAACTATGAATGTTCCACTTTGTAAATTGCTTTAACTTATATTATCGAAAAAGAAAAATGGAGACGTCACAGAGCAAGGAGTTGGTCGAATTCAATGTTAAGTTTGCAAACATTTCCCTTAGGAGTCAAAGGATAAAGAGACACACGTCATGTTGGTTGAAAGTTGAATTGTAAACACAAAAAATCATTTGTCAAATTCAACCAGAAAATTCTAGAGAATAATTTATAGCCCAA